CTCGTAAACATAAGGCATGTACCCCAGAGGTTACTAGCTAAAGCCCATGCGGAGAAAAGTAATTTTTCTCACGTAAGCGTAGCTTTCACCCCTACCTAACGGGACAGAGCACAGTTAGAATGCTCTAAATATTAAAGGTTTACAGCAACAGTGGGGAAACTCATAATCCTTTGCCTCGATCCAAGAGAAACAATAGACTAAAGTGAAAGTCAGAAAACTGAAAACATGTAGATCACACATTAGTACAACTATTTATTTGTTAATTAAAACGCAAATTAAAATGCAAACAACAATTTAAAACAAATCAGGGATCAAAAATCAAATTAAAGTGAACTTACAACTTTCGTTTGCAAAGACAATTAATTAATCGACTATAGGCCTGACTCTCTAAAAAAAAGTCCCCAGCGGAGTCGCCAAGCTGTCGAAACGATTTTTAAACCGCGGGGTGATTTTGGAAACCGCGTCATTTTTAATTATTCTCTTTTCAATTGAATTTTTAATTAAAAACAGTGCGATTTTAGAAAACCTCTCGTTTCGAAAAAATTGGAAATTCCTTTACGATAAAAATATAAGGTTCGAGGAGTCGCCACCAATCTTTGATTAGGGTGTGATTGGGCACCCAAAAACATTGTCATTTTAAATAAAAATTAATCAAAACGACAAATTTACGGTCTACGTTACCAAAATCCAAGTTCGGGAGTCGGTTACGCGTGGGGAAGGATTAGCACCCCCACAACGCCCTAAATCGGTACCTAGTCGATTAATTAATTTCTTTGCAACGAATTTCACAAGTTCAAATTTGATTTGATTAATGATCCCTTTAAACGACAAATATGAAAATTTGCAACATTCAAAGCAACAAAATAGATTTAATTTAAAATTACCAAGTCATTAGAAAGATAAAGAATATTCGATTATTTAAAAATATCGAGACCAGATCTTTAGTTCAGTTCTAACGACCTTTTCTCGAAAAGTTTAAATAGTCGAATATTTCCTTTTCTTCGCTCCCAAATTTTACAATGATATATCCAAATTTAATTAGGCGTTACTGACGGGATACCATTTTAATTTAAAATCGTCAAAACAACTTTCATGTAAGTTAAGGAAAGCCATTTTGATAATTTTAGATTAAAAGGGGCATTACCCTTAATTCCGATTATGCAATAATGTCAAGTTATGCATATGAGGATATCATGCAAATCATACAAAGTGATGTTAATGCAAAGATTAATTGAACATGCGATTAAAGTAAACGAGGCTAGCATGCTTTAAAAGAAATACACCTAAGTGCGTATGGACAACATGCTCGAAATAATATACACATGCATATATTTAAAATAAATCTAAATTATCTTAACAAACATGCATAAAATATTAAAAGGACTAAAACATGAAAAAAAAGATAACAATAAGCTTTTTCATAACATTTTCATTTCTGGGTACTGCAAGCATAATACAACCAAAATACTTCATAGGATTAAAATGGAAGTTTCCTAAATCACACATCTAAATTGAAAACAACACGAAAATAGCTCAAAACTGAAATTGGACTAAAATAAATCACGCAGAAAATTACAATGCAAAATCAGAAAACGGTAAAGCTCGGTTAAGGGACTAAAATGAAACAGACTGAACATACTGGGCCTCACACGTGATTACACCACCCATCCCAAAACACGGATTCCCTCAGGCTATCAGAACGTTGCCGTTTTGGGGGTATCTAAACGACGCCGTTTGGGTATTCTGATATATGGGATTTTAGGGTAACATTCCTAACCCTAAACCATTTCCTCTAAGCCTCTCATTCTCACCTCAGCCGTTTTCTGCCTCTCCCATATCCTCTCTGCTCTCCCGTCTCTCAACCCTAAACGAGACAGAAGGCCACCGCAGCCTCCGTCGTTCAACGGCTCCGATGGGGAGCCACACAAGCCCCGACGATAACTCGAAGCAGACCTCTTCCTAAAATAAACGCGATCCTAACCCATGACTCAAACCAAACCCTCGAATCCCACTCTGTTTCACTCTCCAGTAGACCTACAAAAACCACGGCCATCGCGACCTTTTTCCTTCCCCAAAAGACTCCGATGAGAGCCACCATCCAACTACCCGGCCAACATATGACCAAATCTACACCGAACCCTTCAAATCCCTAAAGCTCGAGACCTAAAACTGACATGCACGACTCCAAATGAACGGGAAGCAAAAGGTTTTACCTTATCGCAGACGGGGTGTGGATTTCTAGTGACGAAAGTTACTGGATCGAAAGGGTAAGTGTCTTGCGTTGGGTTTGTGTTCTATGGTTGTTGGTTGCTGGGTATTTCGTTTTTTTTTTTGTGTTCTTTTGGGGTTGTATTCTCTGTTATTTTCTTATGACTGAGAGATTGGTGATTCCCTTTTTTTTTTCCGTTGCCGATGACCCCCTTTCTTTTTATGATAAAATGTTCATAAAAGACCCTCTTTTCTTGCATTTTGTTTTGTTTTTGTCTTTGTGCTCTGTCTCTTGTTTGGTGTGCTTGCAGGTCACGGGTGCGAGCTGGTCACGGGCTTCAGGGAGGACTTTGTGAGTCTGCGCAGTCGGTGGAAGCTGACTGGTGGAGACGAACGGTCGACAGAGGCTCGATCTGGACGTGGAAGGCGGCGCTGGGCATGGCAGCAGGGTTGGCTTCACGTGAGACTGCAGCTGGCTGGTTCGCGCACTGTCTTGGAGTTCTGAGAGCATCTGCGCACGATGGCTGGGGATGCTTGGGACGTCGTGAGCCGTTGGATCCTGATGACAGATCCAACGGCCTTCATGTTGCGGCGCTGGAAGCTGGGATAGGAAAACCCTAATGGGTTTAGGGTTCTTTTGTACATGGAATGTTGTTTGGGCTGTTTAGTCCAGCCTGTTGTAACTTGTTTCAATTTGGGCCTGTAATAAAACATTTATTTAGTGCATTAAACATAATATATATATTAAACACCCTACATAATTAAACACACATGATAATAAACTAAAAATAACCTAAATAGATAAACACATGCAACACATGGTAATAATAACTAATTAATAATATATAAACTGGAGTAAAGCTCGAACGAGAACCCCAGACAAAAACAGGTGTTTACATTACCAAAATGGCAAGTGAATGATATATTAGAAACTAATTTATATACATCTTTTTTATGAGGACCAATTTTAAATGATATATATGGGCTGTGGACATGAGCTAGGGGATCAAACACCCCTCACCTCTCTGTTGTGGTTTTGTTTTCAAGTTCTTCAATTAATCTATTATAACAATATTATGATGTATAATATAAAATCAAGCTACAATACTATCTTAATTTAATAATTTTTGTAATGCGGATCAGATCCAATTCTATCTAATAAATAATTAATTTGATAATAATTTTTGGAAAGTATTAACTAATAAAGGAAATCAAGGCAACTTTGTTGCTTCTTTTTTTATTACTTTAACACCAATAATGCTAAGTTTCATAATGTCAGACATGTGATTGTGCAGTGGGAGTACGGGGATTGCATGCAGGACTCAGATACGTGGGAAGATAAATCGAAATTGCATATACAATATTACTCAATGATTAATTAGTTTTTTTATAAAAATAATATATATTCAAAATTATAATAAAAGTTTACCATTATAATTATAAAGTAAACACGTAATAAGATATTTTATTATAATCATTAACACAAGAAGCTAGTCACTTAAGGTTACACAATGATCATATAAGAAAAATATTAAAAAACCTAATCAAATAAACACGAACGAAAAATATATACGAATATATATGATCGTATCAGTAAGCAAACCACAAAAGGAGATCAAGCTATTAAAAGACCATCGACAAATCACTAATCAGAATCAAGCAACGTGAGAAAACTATCCACGTACGTAAATCACGTATACAAATCTAATCTGATGATCCAAAGTTGTGTTGAATCACATATGGTTGTAATATGCGTAGTCTAGTTGTGAAAAATTTGTATCGAGAATATTATGGTCGAGGATTGCGTTTCATTGGGGGCAGAATCGCATATGGTTGTAATATGTGTAGTCTAATTGTGTTGTATTTTTTTTTCTTTATCTAGAATTAGGAAGGTTTTTAAAGAAACACACAACTTTAGACTATAATTTATTAATAAATATTTTACCGAGAAAAGAAATCAAAACAAACAATTGGTAAAAGTACTTGCAAAGACATTCAAACTTCTAACTTTCCCTTTAGTGACAGATTCACCCTTAGTTTAAGGTGGACACGTATGAAATTTATATTTTCTTCGATTAGTTATTTATTTTATCATTTATGCTTTTCCTTGGATTTTATTTATGTCCACCACATACGAAAATTTTATGTTATTAATACATATATACACATTTTCATAAATATTTTTGAATTTGTCACTACGTTTTTCAATAATTTCTTAAATATGATGGACTTACCAAAATGGCAAGTGAATGATATATTATAATCATTAGAAGCAGATTTATATACATCTCTTTTATGAGGACCAATTTTAAATGATATATATGGGCTGTGGACATGAGCTAGGGGGATCAAACACCCCTCACCTCTTTGTCGTGGTTTTGTTTTCAAGTTCTTCAATTAATCTATTATAACAATATTATGATGTATAATATAAAATCAAGCCACAATAATGATCGATGAATTTTATATATTATCATAAGATTTATTTTGATTTCCTCATTTGATTCATTAGATTAGTATATTAATAGAATCTCTTTAAAATAATAAAATCTTTCTAAAATATTCAAATTTCTTGAACCCTAATCTATCTCACCAATTGCAAGATGTATTTTCTTGAATCTTAGAGAAAACGACACTCTCTTTAACAAAGATTACTTGATATACTCATTTGTGTGTGCTTTTCTAGTTAAAGTGTATATTTTACTATTAAATCTTTGTTAGGTGACAGTTATTCAATAATCATCTTTATTGTATTTTATAGATATTTCCCCCCTATAAATATAGCACAACTCATGTTGCAGCCAACATATCCCTCGAAAGTGATAGGCATCACTAATAGTGAAGACTATTTGGCTTTCTCTGCAATCATGAGATCTTTCTTTTCTTTCTTCGCATTATTCTGCGTTCTTTTGGTAAGTTTCAATTATTTTTCAAGAACATTTCTTGCTTGATCAAGTTAATTATTAGCATTGACTAATAAATGTTTTTCTCAATATCTGCAGTCTGCTGAGACTATTGCAGCTAGAAAAGCACCAGACACACAATGGACAAATGAAAAGGAGGAGCAGAGCATGGTGGAAGCAGTTGAACCAACAGAACGTGAGTCTTTTGTCAAGGATTTCGATCCAAACCGTCCTCAATTTCCTCTGGTGTATTACTCAAAAAAAGATGGCCAGTCTCAAGAGCAAGCAGAAAATGATAAATCTTTTATCAAGGATTTCAACCCAAACCGTCCTCAATTTCCCCTGGTATATTACTCAAAAAAAGATGGTCAGTCTAAAGAGCATGCAGAAAATGATAAATCTTTTGTCAAGGATTTCGACCCAAACCGTCCTCAATTTCCCCTGGTGTATTACTCGAAAAAAGATGGTCAGTCTCAAGAGCATGAAGAAAATGATAAATCTTTTGTCAAGGATTTCGACCCAAATCGTCCTCAATTCCCCCTAGTGTATTACTCGAAAAAAGACGGCCAGTCTCAAGAGCATGCAAAAAATGATAAATCTTTTGTTAAGGATTTCGATCCAAACCGTCCTCAATTCCCCCTAGTATATTACTCGAAAAAAGATGGCGAGTCTCGAGAGCATGCAGAAAATGATAAATCTTTTGTCAAGGATTTCGACCCAAACCGTCCTCAATTTCCTTTGGTGTATTACTCCAAAAAAGATGGTCAGTCTCAAGAGCCCACAAAAACTGATAAGGTTGTCAACATATAGATTAAGCAAGGTACCGAATAAGTATAGAGCTTTAATGGAAGAAAATGGGCTCCTATGTGGAGAGAATGGTATTGAAAACTAGTCTGTAACTTGTGTTTGGGTTGCTTCCATGCATGATGCACCCTAATGTCATAATAAAATTGTCCCCTTTTAAATTATTTTTAGTCTCGTTTAAAGATTCAGATCGCTTCGCACAGAAATTACAGATGCGATTAACAGTAATTTAAGCAAAATATTTATAAGAAAACCGTTCCAAAAATCATCTTGTCTATAAATATAAAGAAGAAGAATTCTTTTTAGATTAATTTTTTTTTTTTTTTTTTTTGCAGATTTTCTCTACCACGATAATGCACTCACGGTATATTTAACACAAATATGAACACGAGTCAAGCAAATCCAACCGAAAAGCATTTCTCTTCCCAACGTGGGATTACATGCCTTACCATCACCTAAGAGTGTTCAAGTCTCATAAATTCAAGAACCGAGGAAGTAGCAATGAGGGATGAGAGAAAAGAAAGAGTTAAAGAACCAATCGATAGCAGTGGAAGAAGATTGATTGCAGGATCATCAGCGAATGCTATCATGTTGAATAATCAAGAAAGGTGGCATGCAGGAAGCAAATTACTTGCCACTGAAATGAAAAACGATGATGATGAACACGATTTAAGACCGAAATACTAGGCTCTCCCCTACACCTTAGGCTACTTCATGTTTTCTGTCATTCATAAGATTCTCGTAACCATGCATATGACCCTTTTGTCAGTTCATCTACAGACCACTCCTGCACACTAATAGCCACTCATCCCACTGTTCATTATGTAATTGTCCAGAAGATGACTGATGCAACTTCAACTACATATAATTTGCATAAAGAAAAGCCATAGGTCGTAAAGCACGACTTGTTGATGGTGGTTAATCGAGTCAAAGCACAACTTGTTGCTAAGGGATTCTCTCATATTCCATTTAATAACTTCCTGTGTTAAGATAAAAACCCTACTGCTAAGTATAGAACAAGCAAGAGAGAAAATAACATAGCTTTTCATCTTATTATGAGAAAATCGTGTGTACAAGGGTGATAGCAAACTAGCTATTTATAACAACAGATGACTAACAAATTCTAACAAATTGACATCAACTAACTCACAACAAACTCTAACCAACTCATAACTATACATCTGAAAACCAACTCCATTCTATACACTAACATTCTCCATGCAATTCACGTTTGTAAGACACTAACATTCCCCATGCAATTCACGTCTTCAACTTCATCATCCTCACTTCTTTCTTCAGCTGTATCTTTCTGTGAGTAACTAGTCAACAAGGCTGACCCTGCCTCATGAATGCGAGAAACCAATAACTTTTGCCGATAACAAAGAAACATCGGAGAAGACAAGGGCTTAGTAAGAACATCAACAACTTGCTCGTACGCTAGAACCTCATGAACCTGCAACCGGCCAGCCGCAACCATTTCACGAACAAAAACAAAGTCAAATTCAACATGCATGAATTTCAAATGAAGAACAGGATTGGAGCACACAACAATAGTACTAGTATTGTCACACCATAAAGTAGGTTTCCCATGAAAAGAAAAATGCAACTCTTTGAGTAAAGACGCAATCCATATGACCTCCGAAGCAGCCGAAGCAATACTTCGGTATTCTGCTTCAGCAGTAGATGAACAACCACCTGTTGTTTATGGGAACTTCAAGAAACAAGATTGCCACCAAAATAAATACAATACCCCAACGTGGATTGTCTGTTATCAACATCAACACCACAATTTGCATCAGCAAAGCCAACCAAGGACAGACGAGAAGAAGGTGAGAACCGTAAATCGTAATCCGAGGTGCCCAAAAAATACCCCAGAATCCGCTTAACCGCCTGAAAATGCATATCCTAGGAGCTTGCATAAATTGATAGACGCGATTAACAACATAGGCAATATCCGACAGAGTAATAACCACATATTGGAGAGCACCAACAATACTCCTATATTGAGCCACCTGATCAATAGGTGATCCACCAGTTACATAAAGCTTATAGTGTATTATCATGGGAGTAGGGTGATCTGTTGACTAGTACCGAAAGGTGCCTAAATTAATACACCGAAAGGTGCATGGCCCCTTTTGTTGAAAATGTAAAATGGGATAATTCAATTTAGTCACTAAATTTTAGAGTATTTACAAATTAGTCTTTAGGCTTCAACTATAAATATCCTAGCTCATTTAGCTTCAAAACCATCCCTAAGCATTTTAGCTTTCTTCCAATACTAGAGAGAATTTAGAGAGTTTCTTGAGAGTTGTTTCTCCTTTTTATCAAGAGATAATTATCATTGTTTTCTCCTTGGTAGATCGAGAGAAGTTATAATTCATATTTTCTCATAGTAAAATTCTTCTACCGTTGCCCGTGGTTTTTACCCTATATTATTTAGGGGTTTTCCACGTAAATTTTGTGTCTCTTTTATCTTCATTTTTATTTTCTCAAATTATCAGTTGTGATTTTGCTCTATCCGATATCCATCTTCCGCAATAATTGGTATCAGAGCCAGATTAGAGTGTGTAATATCTGCTTATTGTCTTTGTGGTTGCCACCAAAAGGTGGATCATCCAACATGTGAAAGTAAGAAGTTATTACCCATTTTTTGAAGGTTCCAGAGAACTATTCACGATAGTGAAATAGTGGGAGCTATCCGTAAAAGAAGCTATGACAACGAAATTTGATATTGAAAAATTCAATGGGAGAAATTTCTCATTGTGGAAATTGAAGATGAAGGTCATCCTGAGGAAAGACGGTTGTCTAGCATCTATCAGTGAAAGGCCAGTGGATTTCACAGATGACAATAAATGGATCGAAATGGACGGGAATGCTATGGCAAACTTTCATTTAGCATTAGCAGATGAAGTATTGTCAAGCATCGAGGAGAAGAAGACAGCTAAGGAGATATGGGATCATCTCACCAAATTGTACGAGACCACATCGCTGCACAATAAAATTTTCCTTAAGAGAAAATTGTACACTCTCTGTATGCCAGAATCTACTTCAGTGACAGAGCACTTAAATACACTGAACACTTTATTTTCTCAGCTTACATCCTTAAGCTGTAAAATAGGAGAACAAGAACGTGATGAACTTCTACTTCAAAGTCTACCGGATTCGTATGATCAACTCATCATCAACTTGACAAAAGTAATGTCACCAGTCTAGTCTTCGATGACGTTGCAGCTGTTGTTCTACAAGAAGAAAATCGGTGCAAGAACAAGAAAGACAGACAAGTAAATCTGCAACAAACAGAAGCATTGACAACGATGACAACGATGAGAGGGAGATCAATAGAACGTGGCCAAAGCAGTAGTCACAAATATGGTAGATCGAAGTCGAGGAGCAAGAAGAATTTAAAGTGTTACAACTGTGGAAAGAAAGGTCATTTGAAGAAGGATTGTTGGAGTCTAAATAAAAACTCCAATCCACAAGGCAATACCGCAAACACTTCAGATGGTGGAGATGCTCTATGTTGGGAAACGTCAACCACCGTGGAAGGCAGAAAAAGATTTGCAGATATATGGCTCATTGATTTGGGAGCAACATATCACATGACCTCAAGAAGAGAATGGTTCCATCATTATGAACCTGTCTCAGGAGGATCTGTGTATAGTTGCAATGATCATGCCTTAGAGATCATTGGTGTGGGAACCATCAAATTGATGATATATGATGGAACAATTAAAGTTGTTCGAGATGTGCATCACGTGAAAAGCCTGAAGAAAAATTTATTATCCTACGGATTATTGGATAATAATACAAGCAAGATTGAAACACGGAAAGGAATCATGAAGGTGTTCTGTAGAGCGCTTGTGGTGCTGAAAGGCAAAAAGATAGCAGCAAACTTGTACATGCTGAAGGGAGAGACTTTGCTAGAAGTAGAAGTCTCTGTTGTCTCATGTAGTTCAGATTCTGCAATGCTATGACATCAGAAACTTGGACACGTTTCAGAACAAGGAATGAAAGTTCTTGTGGAGCAAAAGCTACTTCCAGGCTTAACAAAGGTAACACTTCCTTTGTGTGAGCATTGCATAACAAGTAAGCAGCACCGGTTGAAATTCAACACGTCAAATTCTAGAGGCAAAAGTGTTCTAGAATTGGTTCATTCTGACGTATGGCAAGCACCAGTTACATCCCTAGGTGGAGCAAAATATTTTGTCTCATTTATTGATGACTATTCCAGGAGATGTTGGGTGTACCCTATTAAGAAGAAGTCATATGTGTTTTCAACTTTCAAAATCTTCAAAGCGTGGGTGGAACTTGATTCTGGAAATAAGATCAAGTGTTTTAGAACAGATAATGGAGGAGAATACACAAGCGAAGAATTTGATGACTTTTGCAGGAAAGAATGTATCAAAAGACAGTTCACAGTGGCGAACACTCATCAACAAAATGGAGTGGCAGAGCGGATGAACAGAACCTTGTTAGAAAGAACAAGATCAATGTTGAGGGATGCAAGCCTAGAAAAATCATTCTGGGCAGAAGCAGTCAATACCGCCTGTTATTTGGTGAATCGAGCTCCATCAACTGCAATAGAGCTGAAGACACCAATGGAGATGTGGACTGGTAAACCAGCTGATTATTCAAACCTCCATGTATTTGGAAGTATTGTGTACGTGATGTACAACTCCCAAGAAATTTCAAAGCTAGATCTAAAATCCAGGAAATACAAATTCTTGGGGTATGTTGATGGTGTAAAGGGTATCGCTTGTGGGATCCCACTGCCCGCAAAGTGATCATTAGCATGGATGTTATCTTTGTAGAAGATAAGCTACAAAGAAAAGAATAAGCTACAAAGAAAAGAAGAAGATGGTAGCGTTGAAAAGTCAGAGATTACACATATACATGTGGAAAAAAGTTTGAACAAGGAGATTCTTCTGAAGCAGAATCATCACATGATGAACAAGAACCAGAGAGTTATGAAGCTCCAACAACTCGTCAATCAGATCATGTGAGAA